GACTTTGAAATTCATAACATCTCTGTGCCTCTGTAATCTCAACTGAAGAATGGAGATAACAACAGAGTTTGTTTCAGAACATTGAAAAGATTAATAGGTATTTATAGAGTGCTTAGAATAGTGCCAGGCATATCACAAGTATTTCATAAGTCACAACTACCATTTACATCATTATATCATTATATACCTCTCATAGTCTTCCCACCTACTAGTATATTCTCTCGTAATACCAGGTACTTCCAGTGCTGTCTGCATTTTATTAATGCCCTGATCCTATAACTAAAACTCCTGCTCCCTACTTGAGTATCACATGAGAAAAGTACTTAACTTCTCTCACTTTGATATCCTTATCTGTAAACAAGAAGGAATATTGCCACCTTCCCTGCACACGTCTGAATGCCACAGTCTATATACACCTAACGTTTCTGATTTACTATATGTGGTTGTCACAAAGCCCCATTAGGCAGATGCTCCCTAAAGAAGGATTCAGCATCAGAGAAGTTGCGACACGAGTGAAGTTGCAGAGAAAGCTCAATGGCAGGATTAGGACTGGAGAGACATTTCTGATGCTCGTATGTTCTTTCATGCAAACCAGAACTCCCTCCCTTTCCAAAAAGCATACTGCTAGAACTAAGTTAACGTATGCAGCTGAAAGCATTCCAGCGCTTTGGAAATGCAGAAACCGGCAAAAAAAAAAAAAAAAAAAGACAACTGTCAAGCTGCCAATCCAACATCAGCAGAAAACCAATAAACAGGCTTTGTTAATACCACTATTAGGACCAAGAATACAGAAAGTACTAAAGTCTGGGAAGCGGATGCAACGTCACCAAACAAAAAGGCACAAGTTTCTCTTCTAGCCCAGGGGAAAACTCCAACAGGGACAGATGAGGTTTTTGAGTCTCTGGGGTTGGGCCGATCCCTGCGTAGGCTCCACAGCATGGTCGCCCATCACACTCGCTGGAGACTACGGCCGGACCTGCCCGCCGGACCCACCCTTCGGATCCCGGGGCCCTGACTACAGCCTCCTGCCCCTCACCTCCGGCTCCGGCCGCTCCGAAGCCATCCCAGCCCGCCTGCGCCCGAAGCGGCCCGGTGGGCTGTTCCACGCTTGACCTCTGACCCAGCTACCTCGTCACCCGACAGGAACCGGAAGTTAGAGGGAAGGCCTAGATGAGAGTTTTCTGATTGGCTAGCGAAGGTCTTTGGGTGCTTCTCGCAGACTCGAAAATCGGAAGTGGGAGTGTTGCCGCCTCCGTTGCAGCTGCAATGCAGGTAGGTGAGAATTGTGTTGGGCCTGAGAACTTCGGGTAACGGCACGGAAAGTGGACTTGCTCAGACCTTGAGGAGTTGAGGCTGAGACGAGAGGGCTGATGAGTAAGGGAAAGCGAGGCCGACGAGAAAAGGGATGGCGTTGATGAGCGATGGGGTTGGGGCCCTTTTGACCGGAGAGAGTCTGGCGAAGATAGTAGGCGGTAGCACTTCTTTGCTTGTGCGTATGTTTGTGTGTGGGAAGAGTTGTCATTTGAGGAGGCTGAGATTCAGTCCTTGGAAAACTAATTGGGCAAAGAAGAATGAATGGAAACGAGAATCAAAAGGCTGAAGTGGGAAGAGCGTGTTACGATGTGAAGATTGTAACCAAAATCCGAAAGCAAAATATGGAGAGTTCTTAGTGGGAGCTCTGGTGGTTAAGGAGTTGCGTTGCCAACTCAAACGCACACGATTTGAATACGCCAGCTGCTCCGCGGGAGAAAGATGGACAGTCGCTTCACTTGCAACTTAAAATCTATGAAAATCCGCTAGAGGGTCAACTGTGAGTCAGTTTTGACCCGAACAGTACATACACAAAATGTGTGTGACTAACTGGAGGCAAACCAGTTTTCTCTGTATGTAAACTGTCACTCAGATCACATTTTTTTTTTTTAATTATTCTGTTGGCTCAGAGCTCACCTAGGTAGAATAAAATATGATGTTGGAGAGAAGCCTAAAGCATTGAAAGAATTGTTTGATCACCAGGACTGAAAGTGAAACTATCTTAGGTTGTAGATGGAACCGGTGATTAAAATCATGTTAGCAAGTTTGCAAGACAGTTTTGCTTCATTTTTTTGAAGGGATCTTAGTGATGTAGACTGCATTATATTGGGGCTGCTAAAAAGATCAGCAGTTCAAATCCCCCAGCCACTCTGTCGGAAAAAGGTGGGCAGTCTCCTCTGTAAATGCCTCTGTGGTTTCACTGCCCCATAACTGATTTAGGTGACTAAATTGAGTGAAACAGGAGACCATAAATGGGGAGAAAATGGTTTACAGAGCCCAGGCATTTGCGGTTGTTGTGTGATGCATAGAAACAGGCACGTCTTGTTGTTTTCCTTTATAATATTTTTTAATTTCATATTGGCTTGCATACAAAATTCGTTTACATTGTTTCACACTGTTGTTCATTCTCATTTTATTTCATACACTCATTACCATTCATTGTGTTTTATAGATTAATCAGCATTGAACCATGCTCACCATTAGCCTATCTTTCCAGATCCCTGCCAGATTTTTCCCATTTCCTTTACTTCCTCCACCACCCCTCAAATTGTGCAACTCTATGGTTTACACCCTGCCCATCCTCTGCTCCCACCCCTACTCCCCTTAGACCTTAGATTCTCATACATGTTTTACTAGATATCTATTTTTACAGTGGTCTTATGCAATATTTATCCTTATATGACTGAGTAAGTTCGCGCAACATAGTGCTCTCCAGCCTCTCCCAAGTTATGTAGTAAATTTTTAAATCGTTGCTAGAACCATGCACTTCTTAAAAAGAAAAATTATTTGTCAGTTAGGTTCTTGCACCTGACTGTCTGTCAGTAAATGTATATAAGTCACCTTAGCTTGGAAAGAAGGCACAGGGCTATTGGCACAGAGATAAACAAAATAAGTTAATTCAGTGAAGAGGCACTCAGAGACTTCAAATGCTATAGGCAAATGAAGAGCTAGAGGAAGGGGAGCAGGCAGGAATGATATTCAAGAGGAAACTTCACCTATACCAGATTTCTCTGAGATTGTGTTATTGAGAGATTAGCCAGGCTCACATGGTAGGTTCTAGGACAGAGGTAGCTGGAGTACATGTGTTGTAAAGGTGCACAAAAGATAACCTAAATATTAAATTGGTTGGAAAAATTTAAAATTAAGGGGAATTGTATGTCTATAATACACAGAAAAGAGAAAGAATTTGGTGTCCTAGTCAGTAAGGTATTTTTCTGCTAACCCCAAGGTAGGCAGTTTAATCCACCAGTTTCTCCACAGAAAGAAGATGGGTAGTCTTCTTCCATATTATTTACAGCCTCTGAAAATCCACTGGCTGGTCAGCTATGAACTGGTTCCCATTCAGTGGCAATGAGTGAATGAGTAAATATACATCAAGGGAATCTTAGTGTTACAGTTTTTTACACGTTGGGCTGCTCCTGAAAAGTCAGTGGTTTGGACATACCACCACTATGAAAGAGGAACAGAAAGTGGTCAGATTTAACACGATTCCCTTCATCAGAATTGACTTCTGATTTTAGTGGAGTTTGGGGAGCGGGTGGGAAGGGTGTTAATCTTGACAAAGTGGTTAAGCTCTTGGTTGCTAACTAGAAGGTTGATGATTTGGGAGAAAGACGCTTTCATAAAAAAAAAAAAATGCAGCCCTGGAAACTTTATAGAGAGCACTTGAGTTCTGCTATTACTTGATGGCAGTGAATTTAGTTTTGGTAATATGAAGAAAGGAGCTTTGTTGCTTTTTTGTTTGTTTGTTTGGGGTGTTTTTTTATTAATTTTAATGAACGTTTACAGAGATTTTGGATTTCCATTCATTCATTGTTGCATTTCTCTCCCCCCCCC